AAAAATATGAAATTAAAAAACACACATAGGAGATGGTTTCCCGTTCCTTGAAGGAAAGGATTTAAACCCCAGAGAAACAAGGAGTGGAAGGATAAAAAGAGAAAGGACGTGTCAGCCCGCAGGAGCAGTTCCACGCTGTCCTCCAGGGAGTGTGGAGCTTTGGGGGGAGATCTGTCCCGAAGTGGGATGGGCGGAGCTAATGTCCACCTCATCATGAGGTCGGCCAGGGGGGTGAGCTGCTCGGCCACGCACACTCCAGGAACCACCGAGTCAAGTCATGCACGAGCACCGTCTGGGAGCACAGAGCTGAAGCACTGGGCTGCCTGTGGTGGGAACCCCTCAGCTGCTTCCCCCGGGCAGCCTGCTTTGCAGAAAGATGGCAGTCTGGGAAGCCCTTGGGGGCAGTCCGGCCCTTGGGCATCAGCGTCAACCCGGTATCACCTGACGCTATCAGCTAATTGAGAACTTGGCAGTTCCAGCCCATGGGGAGGGGCACCACGAAGAAAGGCCTGGGGAGGACAGCCGGGGTGCCCTCAGTGGGGCCATTCCACGCTGTCACACGGTGACTCCGGCGTGAGACGACAAGCCAGGCACACCCGACAGCTAATGGGAAGGTGGGCGGGGACTAGTGACCTGGTTTCACCTGAGTGGAAGCGCCTTCTCCAGGTTTGCACTTTCTCCAGAGTGGCGTGCCCGGCCCTGCCCCAGCAGGCACCCTCTGCAGGGTTGACACCTTCTGCATCCTTTGGGCTCAACCACAAGGTTGACGGCTTCTCACGGGGAAGCCTAACAGAACAATGCCTTCTCGCAGCACAGGGTAAATGCGGTGGGTCAAATCCGGTGATTCTGAGTCATTATCCTTTTGCCTACAAGGGAGACCCCCTTAGCATCCTAACTTCCACCTCTGCTGGGTCCTTTAAAACAAGCCAACCCCCTCTGGCTTCACTACACCCCCAGGGGTTCACCAGACAGATGCTGAGAAACACAATCTGAGGAGAGGCGGGCAGAGGTGTGTGTGTGTGGAGTGGGGTGATCGAGGCTCAGACAGTGGTCAAGAAAGCACCAGGAGATCGGCGGAGACCGCAGGGCAAGGACTGGGGACTGCTGCTCTGTGTGCACTGCCATCGTCGTGGCCCTAGGTCAGCGGCTCTCAACCTGTGGGTCGCCCGATTCAGGACCGTAGCAAAATGACAGCTAATGAAGTAGCAACGAAAATAATGTGATGGCCGGGGGTCAGCAGAACATGAGGACCTGTATGGAAGGGTGGCGGCATGAGGAAGGTGGAGAACCACTGCCCTGGGCGGTATCGATCTTGATGAAAACTGTAACCGGCGAAGCCATCACCCCCAGGTTGAACCCAGGGGCACGAGTGAGACTATGCCAGGGCGAGGATCAAGATAAGGCAGGCATCCCAAGCAACAGAGGTTGATCTTCGCAGGGCAGCAGCTGGAAGATGGCCCGCACTCTGTCTGACTACCGCAGCCAGAGAGAACCCCCGCACCTGCTCCTGGGCTTGAGCGTTGTGGATGTGGAAGCTTTCCACAAATTTCATGGCGCTTTTCTTTGAATAAAATTGTTACATAATAAACTTATTACACACACACCCCCCAAATGAGTACGCAGGCGGGTCTCCCAGCCTGACTTGTTGACCATTCTTCTCTGGGTTTGCCCACAGGTGGAGGGCTGGCTGGTGGCATCCTGCCTGCCCCCCACTACCCTGCCCCACCGCCAGCCTCCTGAAGGTCAGCAAAGCCTACAGACCTCTGGGAAGGGAACTGAGGGGTCACAAAACCAGCCCTAGCGCCGTGCGTATACCCGTACACTGCTCCCAACCCGCCAGCCTACGGCTGTCGATTCCATCAGACTTCTAAGGCCACCCAGGTGTCCGAGCAGGGTCTTCATCACCGAAGGGGGTCCCGGTGGCACACAGATTAAGTGCTCGGTGGCTTAGAGAGGTCCGAGGGGGGAACCCAGTCAGGGGTCCTGCAGAAGAAAGCCCTGGTGCTCTGTCTCCAGGGAGACCGATGGCTGCCCCTGCTGTCAGGGGCTGCCTGGATGGTGCCGCTCACAGCAATCCCAGGCACAACAGGACCAAGCGGCACACCGGCCTGCAGCCACCGGGTCAATCCGCCTTGTGGAGGGTCTTCCACTGGATCACTGACCCTCGACTTTACCAAGCATGCTGTTCTTCTGGGACTGGCCCTTCCTGATCACAGGCTACCTGAGATGGGCTCTGTGAGACAATCCATGGGGCGGATTTACACCAGCAAGAAACCGATGGATGGCCCCGGTCAAAAACCACCCCCTTTACAGACGCGGAGGCCCACGCCTTTCCTCAGCAAAGCCTCTGGGTGGGTGGGAGTTCGACTGCCCACCTTTCATTGCCACGGAGCTGCTGGTGGTTTTGAACTGCTGACCACGAGGATTGCAGCCCAGTGCATAACCGCTATACCATCAGGGCTCCGTTAAAAAAAAAACATTCTTTTTTTTTTTAAAAAGCACATACAATTAATAAAGTTCCCAAACCCTACTGCCCTTGGATCAATTCCAGCTCAGAACAAACCCAGGGAGGGTTTCTGTTCTGCTTGATGGGAGCAGCCTCCTCTTTCTCCTGAGGAATGGCTGGTGGGTTTGAACCACCAACCTTGCAGTCAGCAGTCCAATGTTTAATGTGCTGCACCACCAGGACTTCCCTCCAGGTGACCCTAAACCTAGGGGAGTGGTGCGTCACTACTGGGCATTCACCTTCCTCACCTGTCACCCGGTAGCGTAAGCAAAGTGGTCAGGCCGCCCCATCTAATGTGAGGCCCTCCTGAGGCCTCTCCACGGTCAGTCTACTTCTGTAAAGATTGACGGCCTCAAAAACCCGGAGCGGCTGTCCAGTCAGACCTCCAGGTTGGCTGAGAGTCAGGATCAGTTGGTACTCGGCTGACAGTTTAGACACGCTGCCCGATTTCGATCCCATAAAACCCTGTAAAGTAGAAAAGGAACGGACACCTAGCCGAGTGAGTGTCACTGCCTTGTGTCCCCATAAAAGCCCTCTGCCTACCTGCAGGATGGAAACGAGCCTGGGACAGGGATCCGGGCACAAGCTCCGGCCAACAGACCTGGGTTCAAACTCCAGGGCTGACACCCGAGACTCAGACATGTGGCCTCAGCAAATTTCACTGCCTTTCCTAAAAGCTGCTTCCTGACACAGCCCAGCCCCAGTGCCCTGGAATGGGGTGGGGCTGGAGGGGTGTTCCCACACTGGCCGCCCCACATGCATCCGAGTCTAGGAGTGCTCCCCTGGGTTTCCAATGGCTGCCTTGGGGATGTGGATCACCAGGACTTTCTACCAAACTAAACAGAGAAGAAGGACCTCGCGGGTTCTCCAAGGCCGTACTGCTCACAGCTTCCTGGGTTTGAACAGCCAGCCTTTCCGTTATTCGGTGAGCGCTTTACCTGCTGCGCCCCTCTCTCACTGCCATCTCCTTGATTCTGACGCGCAGCGACCCTACAGAAAGGGTAGAAGTCCAGGCTTTCCCAGACCGGCTGGTGGTTTCGAACTGCTGATCTTGTGGCTCTCAGCCCAACTCGTAAGCCACTGGGCCACCAGGGCTCCTTCTGCACCACCTACTCCCCTCATAATAACCGCACCTCCCATAAATCACAGGTGCACCTTTGTCCCTGTCCAACCGTAACCATTTGCTGCCAGCACCACTCCTAGAATGCGCCTGCCGCTGCCACCTGCCTCACTGTGGTACCTGACACCTGAGCTCATTTTTAACTTTTGGCAACTTTGTTGTTCACATACCTCACGGACATGCGTGGGGCTGCTAACCCACAAAGGTCAGCAGTTCAAAGCCAGCAACCGCTCTTGGGGAGAAAGATGAGACTGCCCGCATAAGGGTTAGAACCTACGGAGCCTCCCCCTTTGCCCTATAGGGTGGTCACGGCTCGGAATTACCTTGAGAGCAATGGCTTTAGCTTTGGGTGTTGTTTTGTGTTATTTTGGGGGGTGATGGTGGTGGAATTGGCTTGACCCCACAGGATGGTGATTGGACTCGGCTGGGTGCACCCAGGAGTGCCCCAGAAAAAGGCCTGGCCATCTTCTTCCAAAAGAGGACATGCATTGAAAACCCCACAAAGCATACTTCTGCTCCGAGTCAGGAGAGACAGCTGGTGGACCCCCCCAGAAACTCAGTCCCTCCCCCCACCCCCACGGTCTGCTGGGAGCTTCCACTCCTGGGGGGGCGGGGCAGATAGATCCCTCCGGGAGCATGTCACTGTGCTGGGGGCCGAGGGGCTGGGTCAAGAGCTAGGACCCCATTACTGGCGGGAGGAGAGGTCTTCATGAGAGCAAGTGTGGACAGGTGCGAGAATGCTGGTTTCTGCTCCAAGACCCCTCCCCCTAAATATCACCAGGAGGAAGGGGGGAGAGGGGAACCATGAACTAGTGTCATTCACCCTGGGACCCCAGGGTCCCTCGACAGCAGGAGGAGGCTGCAGCACTCCAAGGGTCCGGGACATGGTACCTGGAGCATCCGGTCACCCTTCACCCCTGCTGAGCATCGCAGAGATGCCCAGGGAAGCAAACTCCCAAGTGACTCCGGAAACAGAGCAGTAACCCGCCTCACGGTAGCTTGGAGGATGGAAAAGGAGTAGAAGGTGCTGAACGTCCCAGGAGGGTGGGGAAACTGGGGGCTGCACCGGCAAACCCCTTCTTTGTATCTACAGAACCCAGTGTCCAGGGATCAGCCGTTAACCCCGCTGGGCAGTACCCGCCTGTTTCCCAACCCTCAGTGGTGGCAATGACCCTGTTTTATGCACCGAAAGGCACACTTCAGCCAGCAGCACAACTTCTTCCAATGATTAACTTGCCCAAACATTCCTGGGCGTAAGGACATGGCACAGAAAAGAAAGGCAAAGGTAGACAGACATTCCTGGGGACTGAGTGGGCCACATTTGTTACCTACGTCAAGTCGGCAGCAGCCCTGATGTCCCATGTCCACTGATATTCTCTGATGGAGTCAAAGGTGACACTTACAAATGGCATTGATATAGCAACCGCCCAAGCACAGCAAATCTCCCTCGCTTGTCAGTTAAGTGGGGGAGCCCTGGAGGCCCACTGGTTAAATGCCTTGGCTGCTAACCACAAGGTC